TTTCTGATGTGCTTTTCCACATTCTTCTTTGTGATTTTTTTTTTTAGCTGTCAATTCTATTCCATGTCATATATAATGGTAGGTACTTCTTTTCCACACTCTTAAGATAATCAACAACCCTTCTTGGTATACACTCCACTGGTGAATCACAAAATGATATGCTTATACTTGGCAAAGCGTGCCTGTAACTGTATATAGGTGTTTTCATATGATTATACTGTAATAAATGGCTGCCTTAACTTTTGTTTTAATGAACTGAAATTTCGTGTCTGTAAATAGTTAATGTACCTATATATTGACCCATCTATCGAAAGAAGGAAAATGGACATATGGATATTTTAGCATAATCTTTGGAAAGAACCTCTTTGCAAGTTTAATATGAATTGAATATGCAAACCATCTGACACAAACCAAATTTGCTGTTGAAAGACTGTTAATCTTTAGATCATATTTTTTTTTTTTTGTGAATTGGGAAAGCTAAATAGGAACCTTATATTTTGGTAACAAAAGCTCAAGCATGAAGGAGATCATAGTTTCTAACTAATCTTCGGGAATGTTCAAAGATAGATGTGAAAAATGGAAAGGTGATAAAATCTCATGAGTCATTCTTGCAGGAAGCTTAGGTCAAATGGCTATTCGATAAAAAGCTGAGATGGATGATTGCATCAGTTCATATTTCATGGTCCTTTTTGTATGTGACATGGCAATATCTTCCTGAAAATGCTCCAATTGTGTCTCCTTTTGATATTCTACCTGGTTGCTTTTGCTTTGTAAAGGTGGACTTGAGATCCTGAAAATGCTCCAATTGTGTCTCCTTTTGATATTCTACCTAGTTGCTATTGCATGGGCATCTAAAGATTATTTGTAAAGGTGGACTCGAGATTCTGTGATCTTATATTTTATGGATATTTGATTTCTATAGCTTTACTGAGTTGTGCCCCCATACATTCTATAGCTCCTCCAGCACAAGCTAAATAGATTCTTATGATTGGTTATTATAAGTTCATTCAACGTATGTTCTTAACGGACCCTGAATGTGAAATAACTTTTAAGGAAAAAAGCAAAGTCCAACTTGCCTATTATGCCAATTCCAAATAAAAATTGGAGTGTGTATATTTGTGTGTTTGGAATAGGCCCCTAGATTTCTCATGTAAATTTTTTATATTATTTGGTAAAATAGATCCCTTTATAATAATATATATTTTACATTGTTTTTCTTGATATTTTATATTTAATGAGAATTGTGAACAATACTTTGTCATCTGCAGAAACTATAAATAGGTCAAAAAGCTCCCAACTTTTGAACAAACTTCACCTTGAAAAGCATCTTGCTCCCATGGTAAATTTTAATTGGTCATTGATACTTCTTTCTTATCATAATGATAATCAACTAACTTGGTAAATCTTTATTTTCTTTCTGTGATTATGTCCTCAGACCACATCCACGGCTGCAACTTGTTCTTTGGAATCTATGGCCTCTTCCTGCCAAGTCAAAGGAGGCAACTTATCTAACCAGCTAAGGGAAATACTTCCTGCCAATCGCTCGTCTTTAATGTCAGACAAGCTTATTCAGGATTCAGCTTTGAAGCGTTCGACTAATTTGAAACATTTGGATAAGAATTTTTTAACCACTGGACTGAATAGCACACAATCTAACAAGCAGAAAATAGTTAAATTGACCCCTGAAGTATCGTTGGATGATAAAGATAATGAACTGCTAGCACTTTATGCTTTGAAGAAGCGTAAATTACTTATAGAAGGACCGGATCAGACCCAACTTTATAAGAAGTCTGATGGGGATTCTACTTATTCAGCAGAACAGAATTGTCCACAATTTTCTAGGACTGGTAGCTCTCAGAATCCTCAAGCTACTTGCAATGCTGTGGAGGAGAGAGGATCAGCTTTTCTGGTCCAGGTGAAGTGCTTTGATCCTTTCACCGTTCTATTTCTATGTGGTTTGTGTAAACTCACTACAGAATTGTATTTAACCCGTCCTGATTACTCGTGCAATTGATTTGCACAAGTACATTGATTTTCTTTATCATAGGACTATGCAGCAAAGAAATTATTAGAGGTGTCAATGTCTAATACATTACACCAGTGGAGGAGCCAGGATTTTCGAACCCGTTGTTTGCAGCCACGAGCTGTAACCTTTACCACTAAGCTATACAAACATTCATCTCAAAAAACTAAAATGTGTAATATATATGTATATTGAAAACGTTCTAGAAATTTTTTTAAAATGTTGCCCCTTCCCATCGTCTATTATATGCCGGCAGGAAAATGAGAAAAGTTTTCATGATTCAAAGAAATGAAAAATGTGAGACAATCTATCAATTAGAATCTTTCAAGAAAATCAAAGAGCGCAGTGAGTTCAATACATAAACTCCCTTTTTGTGGGTTCCAACAGAGTGATTTGAGCTTCCGTGTTCTCTCTTCTCCCACAAAGTTAAATATGATCAATAAGTGCTACATTCTTGGAACATTCTATTACATATTTACATTGATGTCTGCATTAATGACCCTAGTGATGTCATTCGGGTGTCTGTCATAATAATCAGTGTTGTTTAGTTTGAAAAGTTAATAATGGATACTTACAGCTTCATCAAATTCTGAAACAGTTTACGTATATGAAGCTGGAAATTATTGATGTGAACAAATGTCATTTTAGGCAAACCTTGATGGCTTGGCCCAAAACTTTTATTGTTTTTATTGTAATAACTCAATTCTCTCAATATTTGGCTCTTTTGCTGGAAATTGAGATCTCTAAAACTGCATGACTTACAGGTCCGCGAAAAACTCACTGATGCAGAATATAAAGAATTTGTGGGCTTTATGAAGGCGCTAAAATCTAACGCAATGAAAATACGCCATGTTTTGCAATCTATTGCAAAATTATTCTCTCTTCCAGACAGGCACTCACTACTGTACGGGTATGGAGTTAACAAGTGACAATTTCCTTATTGCTACATTTTTGTTATGTATACAGTCATGCTTTCATCACAACTTGCTAGTTCTCCCCAGTTATATTCAGTTCCTAGGCAGTCAGCATTGCACGAGCAAGATACTAGAATAGTTACTTTTTGTAATATCATGCAAATTTTACCTTATTTTCCTATTATTGTAATGATTACATTGATAAGTCTAGCTATCTACATTGATTGAATCCGTTCAGTGTTTAATAAAAACAACTTAATTGGTCACCTAAGAGAGATTAACCACATTGATAGATATGCAGTTGTTTTGTTCGGATTCCTTCAGTCTCTCTCGTTCTGGGTTTTACATTTTTTTGTTGTTGTTCTGTGTGTGTGTGTGTGTGGGTAGGTGGGGGGAGGGGGGGAGTTGTTTGGTATGATGGCCAATAGTCTCCAAAAGTTTGTAATGATATGGATAGAATGAAGGTGGATACTTTTTTGTGTCAACTCATTATACAAACAAATCTCCATCTCCTTGAGAAAGATCTCACTCACTAAATTTTTCTTTTTCGTTGTTGACAGATTCAAGGATTATGTTCCCGCGAAATATAAGTCTTTCTATGAGCGATACTTGTTGGCTAATCATGAAGCACAGTAAGGAACTTGTCTACCAAGTGAATAGACATTTTATGTTCACATTTCTCTCCTATTATGAAAACTCCTTGAGTTTAATAATTGATTATAAATAAAATTCTGATAAGATAAATGGTGGTTGTTCCTTTTCTGGCTATGTGTAAATACTAGCTTCTCTCTTAAAAATTAAATAGCAATCATGCAGGAAAAAATCACCCGATGAAGCAATGACTGCCTCGGGCAAAATTTATTGTAATTCCATGTTCTAATTATTAACATAAAACTAACCTTATCCCGTATAAAGGTGGCGTTGGCAACATGATTTCCTTTTCACCACTCCACTTGATATCTGATGTACACATCTACAACTAGATACTCAGCAACCACAAGAGGCCTAGTTTTGATCTATCCCTCAATCTTCTAATCCGTTCTATTAAGATCATGTCACTCTAGTTAGACCGCTTTAGTCGTGATGTTCTTCATAGAACATGCTTTTTTCTGATAGTAAGTATTGCTGTATGCATGGCTGCTCTTGTTTTTGAGTATCAATTTTTACTGTTCATCAAACAGAAGTTCTAATGGACGAGTATCCAGGAGAAAATAACCCTTAAACATCTGGTCGTAGAATCTTATCAATGACTGGGGAATTAATATAGTGAAAGAAAACTGAAAGGGGAATGAAAGGGAAAGATGACGACTTATCTTTTGGTTCACTAGTACTCAATTTCAGATGTTCTTGAGAGCTCAGATGAATAACCGACTAGTATTCTATAAAATTCTCTAACTAACTTACAATCTGAAGTACCTATAATGCTAAACTACATAACTTTGTTACACCCTGTCTTCATTTGCAGAGTACCTGACAACAACGTTCCAAGAGAATTATAATTTGTCTATCCGTGATGGATAAAGTTCAGTTTTATTGCACTATTTATCTGCAAAGGGGATTCAAGTAGCATGGTACGTGCTGTTCCATAGCAGTATTGTATAATCTTACTGTGTGTTTGTTGCACTAAAGAAGTTAAAATCTTTTCTATTGTAGTGGATATATCCAAACATGCTCTTAATTTTCAGTAGAAAAATGCATAAATTGAAGTTAACACCCATCGTGCAGTGGTCTCTGCAGCCTACCTGGTGCTAAAGATGGAGTTCGAGCTGCCACAGGTGAACGAGCAAGAATTTGAGATGCAAAATTTCAATTCCGTTCACAAAGCAGAGTTGAGGTATTGTGCTTATACGCCCATCTCTTCATTGTAAAAGTTATTTTGCATCGATAGAATGTTTTTCAGATGCAGTTGTTTTGTTCGGATTCCTTCAGTCTCTCTCGTTCTGGGTTTTACATTTTTTTGTTGTTGTTCTGTGTGTGTGTGTGTGTGGGTAGGTGGGGGGAGGGGGGGAGTTGTTTGGTATGATGGCCAATAGTCTCCAAAAGTTTGTAATGATATGGATAGAATGAAGGTGGATACTTTTTTGTGTCAACTCATTATACAAACAAATCTCCATCTCCTTGAGAAAGATCTCACTCACTAAATTTTTCTTTTTCGTTGTTGACAGATTCAAGGATTATGTTCCCGCGAAATATAAGTCTTTCTATGAGCGATACTTGTTGGCTAATCATGAAGCACAGTAAGGAACTTGTCTACCAAGTGAATAGACATTTTATGTTCACATTTCTCTCCTATTATGAAAACTCCTTGAGTTTAATAATTGATTATAAATAAAATTCTGATAAGATAAATGGTGGTTGTTCCTTTTCTGGCTATGTGTAAATACTAGCTTCTCTCTTAAAAATTAAATAGCAATCATGCAGGAAAAAATCACCCGATGAAGCAATGACTGCCTCGGGCAAAATTTATTGTAATTCCATGTTCTAATTATTAACATAAAACTAACCTTATCCCGTATAAAGGTGGCGTTGGCAACATGATTTCCTTTTCACCACTCCACTTGATATCTGATGTACACATCTACAACTAGATACTCAGCAACCACAAGAGGCCTAGTTTTGATCTATCCCTCAATCTTCTAATCCGTTCTATTAAGATCATGTCACTCTAGTTAGACCGCTTTAGTCGTGATGTTCTTCATAGAACATGCTTTTTTCTGATAGTAAGTATTGCTGTATGCATGGCTGCTCTTGTTTTTGAGTATCAATTTTTACTGTTCATCAAACAGAAGTTCTAATGGACGAGTATCCAGGAGAAAATAACCCTTAAACATCTGGTCGTAGAATCTTATCAATGACTGGGGAATTAATATAGTGAAAGAAAACTGAAAGGGGAATGAAAGGGAAAGATGACGACTTATCTTTTGGTTCACTAGTACTCAATTTCAGATGTTCTTGAGAGCTCAGATGAATAACCGACTAGTATTCTATAAAATTCTCTAACTAACTTACAATCTGAAGTACCTATAATGCTAAACTACATAACTTTGTTACACCCTGTCTTCATTTGCAGAGTACCTGACAACAACGTTCCAAGAGAATTATAATTTGTCTATCCGTGATGGATAAAGTTCAGTTTTATTGCACTATTTATCTGCAAAGGGGATTCAAGTAGCATGGTACGTGCTGTTCCATAGCAGTATTGTATAATCTTACTGTGTGTTTGTTGCACTAAAGAAGTTAAAATCTTTTCTATTGTAGTGGATATATCCAAACATGCTCTTAATTTTCAGTAGAAAAATGCATAAATTGAAGTTAACACCCATCGTGCAGTGGTCTCTGCAGCCTACCTGGTGCTAAAGATGGAGTTCGAGCTGCCACAGGTGAACGAGCAAGAATTTGAGATGCAAAATTTCAATTCCGTTCACAAAGCAGAGTTGAGGTATTGTGCTTATACGCCCATCTCTTCATTGTAAAAGTTATTTTGCATCGATAGAATGTTTTTCAGATGTATCATTGTTTCAAACAAGAAACAATATTAGATTGTGATGTATTTCATAAATCCTGTATATTAAGCCTAATTGCCATTGAAGAGGTTCTTAGCAGTTATTTCACCCACTTGAATAAATTAAGAAATAGGAACTCTTTTTAACTTGTATTCTTGATAGTATTTGATAACGAAGATGATAACTTTTTAGTGTTGCTATTGCTGATTTGCTATAATGTTACGTTATTATTTTAGAACTTATTTAGTCGAAATTAGCTATATATTATGTTATGAAAAATAATTACAAATACGTCATAATAAACATCCACAACAAAATACACTTAACTCAATGAACCTTTTGAAGTTCTCATAGACGATGGTACATAAGCAATAAACGGGTTAAGATCCTGGTTGATCTTTAAATTTTTATGTTGCTTGCTAAAAGTTCAATTTTTAGATTGTACAAAGCAACCCTGCTTTTGAATTATGTACATTGTCAGTTCCGGCAGTTAGTTTTCATCACCCTTGCATTATCGTAGAGCATTCTCTTTTTTAAAGTGTCAACCTTTAAAATTATGTTCTAAAAGATTCTTTAAATTAATATTTTAATTTAGAAAGGAGAGTCAAACTCATTCTCTATGATTAAATGGATTCAAAGCGTTTCAATTTTCAATGTAGAAAAATAATAAAATATTTTAAAGGAAAGTTAGTTAAAATAAAATATAAAGGAAAATGATAATTATTTTTTTATGAGTAGTAAAATTAAGTGTTAAATATAAATAGCTTATTGGAGTATTTTAAAATTTTAACTCTATAATTTTATAAATGCTCTTCAAATGATAAAATATGTTCTTAAAAAATAGAGGAATATTTTAGAGGATGTTAAAATTTCCTGCACTATTTATCTGCAAAGGGGATTCAAGTAGCATGGTACGTGCTGTTCCATAGCAGTATTGTATAATCTTACTGTGTGTTTGTTGCACTAAAGAAGTTAAAATCTTTTCTATTGTAGTGGATATATCCAAACATGCTCTTAATTTTCAGTAGAAAAATGCATAAATTGAAGTTAACACCCATCGTGCAGTGGTCTCTGCAGCCTACCTGGTACTAAAGATGGAGTTCGAGCTGCCACGGGTGAACGAGCAAGAATTTGAGATGCAAAATTTCAATTCCGTTCACAAAGCAGAGTTCAGGTATTGTGCTTATACGCCCATCTCTTCATTGTAAAAGTTATTTTACATCGATAGAATGTTTTTCAGATTGTATCATTGTTTCAAACAAGAAACAATATTAGATTGTGATGTATTTCATAAATCCTGTATATTAAGCCTAATTGCCATTGAAGAGGTTCTTAGCAGTTATTTCACCCACTTGAATAAATTAAGAAATAGGAACTCTTTTTAACTTGTATTCTTGATAGTATTTGATAATGAAGATGATGACTTTTTAGTGTTGCTATTGCTAATTTGCTATAATGTTACGTTATTATTTTAAAACTTATTTAGTCGAAATTAGCTATATATTATGTTATGAAAAATAATTACAAATACGTCATAATAAACATCAACGACAAAATACATTTAACTCAATCAACCTTTTGAAGTTCTCATAGACGATGGTACATAAGCAATAAACGGGTTAAGATCCTGGTTGGTCTTTAAATTTTTATGTTGCTTGCTAAAAGTTCAATTTTTAGATTGTACAAAGCAACCCTGCTTTTGAATTATGTACATTGTCAGTTCCGGCAGTTAGTTTTCATCACCCTTGCATTATCGTAGAGCATTCTCTTTTTTAAAGTGTCAACCTTTAAAATTATGTTCTAAAAGATTCTTTAAATTAATATTTTAATTTAAAAAGGAGAGTCAAACTCATTCTCTATGATTAAATGCATTCAAAGCGTTTCAATTTTCAATGTAGAAAAATAAAAAAATACTTTAAAGGAAAGTTAGTTAAAATAAAAATATAAAGGAAAATGATAATTTTTTTTAAAGAGTAGTAAAATTAAGTGTTAAATATAAATAGCTTATTGGAGTATTTTAAAATTTTAACTCTATAATTTTATAAATGCTCTTCAAATGATAGAATATGCTCTTAAAAAATAGAGGAATATTTTAGAGGATGTTAAAATTTCCCACCTCGAATGGTAAATGGAGCAAGGATGGAGAATATGGTTCTTGTCTCAAATTTTTTGAATCTTGAATTATATATATATGATTTTCAATTTAAATCTTATTTAAAAAGTAAAGAATAAAATAAATAGAATAATTAAACAAAACGATGAATATGGATTTTTCTCCTATCCGAGTATCCTGTTCTCATCTTGTTCTTGTTCAGGTCATTTGTCATAAATATCCATGTTGGTCATAAAAGTTCATAAAAATTTTATGGTGCTTGCAAAAGATTCATAATTTTGAAATTATAAAAATTTGGACGACTTCAATATTAGTCATTGAATAGATTTTGTTAATTCCCACTATCGATAAACCGTGTAATGCTATTTATAGCCTACAATTATAGTAGTCACTATAAAAGATAACTTATTATTGAAATTAGCTTATTGTTTAAGAAAAATTCTAGAAAATTAATTCCTCTAATAACAAGTTGACACATAAAATGATTACTATAATCGCTGACCATGAACAGATTGAATTGGCAAATATAAGTTTGATATGTTTGTCTACACATTCAAGTCCTCCTTGACCAAAAATTGAGATTAAAAATAGTTGAGAAAAGCCAGATTTCCATTAAAAAAAAAAAAAAAAGTGTTGACCTTGGTTCTTAGCAGTTATTTCACCCACTTGAATAAATTAAGAAATAGGAACTCTTTTTAACTTGTATTCTTGATAGTATTTGATAATGAAGATGATGACTTTTTAGTGTTGCTATTGCTAATTTGCTATAATGTTACGTTATTATTTTAAAACTTATTTAGTCGAAATTAGCTATATATTATGTTATGAAAAATAATTACAAATACGTCATAATAAACATCAACGACAAAATACATTTAACTCAATCAACCTTTTGAAGTTCTCATAGACGATGGTACATAAGCAATAAACGGGTTAAGATCCTGGTTGGTCTTTAAATTTTTATGTTGCTTGCTAAAAGTTCAATTTTTAGATTGTACAAAGCAATCCTGCTTTTGAATTATGTACATTGTCGGTTCCGGCAGTTAGTTTTCATCACCCTTGCATTATCGTAGAGCATTCTCTTTTTTAAAGTGTCAACCTTTAAAATTATGTTCTAAAAGATTCTTTAAATTAATATTTTAATTTAAAAAGGAGAGTCAAACTCATTCTCTATGATTAAATGCATTCAAAGCGTTTCAATTTTCAATGTAGAAAAATAAAAAAATACTTTAAAGGAAAGTTAGTTAAAATAAAAATATAAAGGAAAATGATAATTTTTTTTAAAGAGTAGTAAAATTAAGTGTTAAATATAAATAGTTTATTGGAGTATTTTAAAATTTAAAATTTATAATTTTATAAATGCTCTTCAAATGATAGAATATGCTCTTAAAAAATAGAGGAATATTTTAGAGGATGTTAAAATTTCCCACCTCGAATGGTAAATGGAGCAAGGATGGAGAATATGGTTCTTGTCTCAAATTTTTTGAATCTTGAATTATATATATATGATTTTCAATTTAAATCTTATTTAAAAAGTAAAGAATAAAATAAATAGAATAATTAAACAAAACGATGAATATGGATTTTTCTCCTATCCGAGTATCCTGTTCTCATCTTGTTCTTGTTCAGGTCATTTGTCATAAATATCCATGTTGGTCATAAAAGTTCATAAAAATTTTATGGTGCTTGCAAAAGATTCATAATTTTGAAATTATAAAAATTTGGACGACTTCAATATTAGTCATTGAATAGATTTTGTTAATTCCCACTATCGATAAACCGTGTAATGCTATTTATAGCCTACAATTATAGTAGTCACTATAAAAGATAACTTATTATTGAAATTAGCTTATTGTTTAAGAAAAATTCTAGAAAATTAATTCCTCTAATAACAAGTTGACACATAAAATGATTACTATAATCGCTGACCATGAACAGATTGAATTGGCAAATATAAGTTTGATATGTTTGTCTACACATTCAAGTCCTCCTTGACCAAAAATTGAGATTAAAAATAGTTGAGAAAAGCCAGATTTCCATTAAAAAAAAAAAAAAAAGTGTTGACCTTGCAAAAAAATAAAATTTATATAGAATGGGCCTTTATCCAAGTAGCTAAGAAAACGGGCATTAATGGTGATGAGAATTTCTCAAGAACACATGCTGTTTAAATTATTCCTCTTCTGCATCCATTATTTTAAAGTTTTTTTTAACCCACTTTGTCATGCCTATTCTCAACTGTAGCACCAGAATTTGTCCCCTCAATTCAATTATAAAATAGATAAGCCTGCCAGGTTCAATTAATACGTACATAGGATTCCATTTTATTTGTATATAGTCAAGCTTTGACCCTATTATAAGAAACGGGTAAAAGAGAATATAGGGAAGTCACGTTCGTTCGATACATTGAATTAAATCCAATTAAGAAAAAATAATAAATTTCTTTTCGATGCTATCAGATATTAAGACTTTCATGCACACAAGCTTGAAAAATAATGGATTATTTATCACTAAGTATTGCTGGCACCAACAATAAATTAATTAATGATTATTTAATGGGGAATTTAGGTGTGTAGAGTAGATTTAAATTTATCTATGGCAAAGGAAATAAGAATTTATCCCTCCTACCCAACAAATAAATAATACAGAACATATATTTTTAATGATAACTGAATTGGCATATTATAATCCTATTTGAGTTTATAATCAAATCTATAAACAGAATTGGTATAATTCTAATATTATTAGTTGGTAGTGAAAAAAAAAACCTCCATTTTCAACCACCTAACTCTACATTTTCTTGTACAATAGCTAGCATTTATGTAATGTACCTATTTAGTTGGAAAAAGTATTACACAAATAAAGAAATGATTTTGTATTCCATTTCTTTAGTAATCGAGTTTTCTCATATATTAGACTAAACAAAAGGGAAAATTGCAACAAACTTTGTTTTGCTGTCTAATTCATTGTATCGAATATCTCCTTCATATAATTCGTATCACTTACAGCTTATGATATTTTTTCTTTTATTTAAAAATACATAAAAAGGGATCCTTGCTGGATTATCATTGCCATTTACGAGTTACTTCAACATCAATGCAGAAAAGTCAACAAAAGATAGAGTAGGAATAATCTCCAAGGCATCATACCTGTCAAGAAAATGAAATCTGTAAAGCATCTTCCATTTCTTGCAAATAAAATGAGCACAACAAAAGAACAACGCAGTATAACAGATTAATTTAGCCATAAATTTCGGTTCGACTTCACAAATTGTTTACACGACTTCGTTCAATTTGTAGCTACACTCCAAAAAAAGATCTAACAAAGTCGATACAAGAAAGAAGAAGACACCAAATGATGGATTATTATTAGCTTATGATAATCAAATCATTAATTCATTCTTCTCAAAGATTCTTGATGGAACAGCGAAACGAGCCGAAAAAGATCGAGAAAGTTCATCGTGATTTGCCCACATTAAGCCCTGATCAAAATTTTGTGCATAAGAATATGGATCATAAGTGAATCTCATTGAATTTGAGCAACTGAACTTTCTTCTCTTCTCTTTCTTGATCTTCCTCCATAACATTGTCCAAATGGGAGCTTTCGAGTTGTTTACCGACAAATCATACGGTGTGAATCGCTCAAAGGAGTCGAGTCGACCACCCCATAGGACGTCGTTGCAGCAGCAGCACCATTTTCCAGCACCCATTGTGAAGAGAAAACCAGTGGTGTTGTGAATTTCTGTGTGGGGATATAAGGAGTTGGGGTAGGTGTTTTATAGAGAAGGAGAATAAATGCATGGATGGACTAATTATAGGTAGATTATGATATATCTGTATCTGAATTTGTACACTTCTCAGTCAATACTTTTTGCTTGTGAACAAGTGTGCACAATGGACCAATAATGGACATGTGACTTTTTTCAATTTTGAGGGGCAAACTTGTCATTTGGTTCAAGTATGATTATATTTTTGTAAAGTTGCATTATAGTCCCTACTTCTTGTCGTAACGGCAAGTTTGTCCCGACCTTTAACCACTTCTCAATGACGAAAACTATCCAAATCTCCATCTAATTGTCAAATTGCCCTTCATTGGCCAATTTTACAATTGGGCTATTGTCCATTAAATTGGACTGAGACATATTTTCATAAGAGA